GCAGTGATAGCTGCCATTTGAACATATTAACCTTTCATTTGTTCTCTGTGGCAGTGCAGATAAAAGTGAGGTTGGATTTGCTGAAATAGATGGTAAATTGCATCATTTACATCTGGCCATTTTGGGGCTGCTGTGTTCTTTGTTTGTCTTTTGTGCACAGAGACGAGTTAGCGAGAGCTGCTCGTTGTCTTAGTCAATTTTAACGAGGTTAGTCCTGCTGCTCAGCCCCAAGAGAAAGCTCTACTACTCAACAATTAAAGTCAGCATTTGGAGAAGCAGCAAACAGCAACTTCTCTCAGGGAAGTCAGTGGAGAGAGGATTCATCACGTTTTACAATCAGAATCATTTTACCAAGTGTTTAATTTATAGCAAGAAACAAAAATATATATTTATAAAGAAAGAGAAAGCAAGTACTTTATGTCAAGAAGCATAAATAGAAAATAGAAAAGAACAATAGAACATGAAAGAATATAAAAATAAGGATTAGAGTTATTCATGTGATGTTACTGAAATGAATTATCTGTACAGTTTTGTGCAGTAATTCGCAAAGTATTGACCAGGCGATGTGCAGAGGTTCAGTGTGCAGTATAAAGAAAATATGTGTAAGATAGTGATCAGAAAGGATGGAATAAAAAACAGATGTTACACAGTCTGTAACTTCTGCCTCCAGCGGTCCCTTATTTAAAAACAATCACAAAAAATGGCATTGGGTGACATCATGAAATAGCATTTGATCATGGGAGTTGTTGTCTTCATCACCATTACCGCAAGCTCCTCCCGGTTTGGATTCCTTCAGTATCAGTGGTTCAGGAAATCAAACAGACCTGCTAATTAGAACCGTTAAAATCACTGAATAAAGCAGTTTGACATTTACAGTCAGTGTTTGAGCGACGCTGTACGGAGGACTGAGACTCAGGGAAGAGTTGGAGCTGAGATTGATGCTAAGCTTTGTTTAGATTGCTGAACCAGACCAGGGCTGAGCTATTGCTTTTGCGATAATATTGCGATATGATAAAGTGCGATTGTCTAACTGCAAAGGCTGCGATTACACTCTGGTCATGTGACATGCAAGTGAGAGTAGAGTAGTCAGCTAAAAGAGGGAGCAACAACTTGGCACGCTTCACTTTGACCTGTTGTACAATGACCTCATCCTCGACAGAACCTGGCATTGCGGAAACTTCAGTGTCAGAGGAGCAGTATGTTGGTTATGTGGAAATATTTTGGCTTTAAAAAAAAGACGATGCTGCACAGCGTCAGGTATAACCTGCCTTGCTACCATTGCTACGTCACGGGGCAACACAACTATCCTGTATCAGCACAACCAAGCCATGTACCATAGTTGCATGGCTAAAATGCCGACCACCAGTGTGTCCAGTAAGCCAAATGCCAGCTGACAAGGATCACTGACTTGAAAGCATAATTCCATATGAACGTGATTCAAATCGGCACAGGGAAATTACTCAGGCAATAACAGAGTTCATAGGGAAAGATACAAAGCCTCTCAGCACAGTAACCAAGCCTGGGTTCATGGCTTTAATGAATACAATGGATAAGCGGTACAGCATGCACTCCCACACATATTTTAGCCAGGTTGTCATGCTGGACCTGTATTAAAAAATGTATTATACTCAGAGGTGTTATTGTAATTTTGTATAGTTGGACTTGACAATCATTCCTTTGCTTTATTCAGACTTGGACAAAACTGTAAACTGAATTTGGACCTAAGAGATCTTACCCAGGAAATAGATGTACAGTATAAGAAGAAGAAAGCTTTATATGTGTGGAAGCAGTGCTGCTGCTGGAGAGCTGTAGGCTAGCCCTCACATATAATTAGGTCCATATGAGAGTCTGTGACTGTGCATATATTGGTGGTGTGTATAAAAGGGAGATTGCCTCTATTTGCACTTCAGCACAATGGACTTACATCCTCCTTTGTAAATTTGTTGAAGGCACAATGGCCACATGGTGCAGCTGTATACACACAGCTACAGAGTTGCTCCAATTAGGGATGTTCAGCACCTACACACACCTTTCAGTGGTTCTTCCTCAAAGAGCAAAACAACACTGTCCTGAAAGAATGTGTGTTTTGTCTTTAGTCATTGTTTGTCAAGGTTTAAAACATTTATTATTTTGGTATTATCAATTTATTTAGATGGTTCTCTACTCTATGCTTTCAAAAATGCTGCTCAACTGTTGTTGAGTGGCAGCATCGCTTATACCTGAAAAAAAAACTTGTAAAAAAGGGTTATAACACAATTATATGTTGTAAAAAAATAACAATCTGAAATGTAAAATACATTAGTATAATTATATATAATAAAAAAACATCTTTGACATAAAATACAATAATATTATATATTATAAAAAACACCTGAAACATAAAATACAACAATATAATAAACTCATAAAGTGTATCAAGATGTTACATTTTGGAGTGTAATGTAAATATGTTAAATAAACATAAGACTGTATAGTGTAATATATTTGTCCATATGTTTGTGATCAGATCTGCTGCTCCACAGTTGCGATAACCCTGTGAGATGGACTGGATTATTATTATTATCAATTGCGTATTGTGGATACATGTGATGTTCCAGTGATTTCTCCGTTTCTTGTACACAGTCTTCAGAACATTGCCCACAGTCATGTGTGATGTGAAGCTGAATAGGCCTTTAGCCTCTATATTTTCTCTATTGCCTTTTAAATGTTGTTACAGTCTTCATGGAAGAGCTGTAACATGGCCAGATTCGATTAACCGTCAAGACACACACACACACACACACACACACACACACACACCACACACACACACACACACACACACACACACACACACACACACACACACACACACACACCAAATGGTGAAGCAGAAGCTCTCGGCAAGGAAAGAGTATTCACAAGTCCTTAAAACATCAGAGTACTTTACATATAAAACCTTGAAAGTTACTGATGTACTGGAGTCACCGGGTTGCAAGAACTACTCACCTGAACAGACTGGTTGTCAACTTTTTTATTATTCACCAATTTTCTTGTATTTGTGATGCGTGGTCCAGGCCTGTCTATGTGTCCTGTGCAGATAGTTTCTCCACATGGGGTGAACCTCACTTACTTTAACAAACTTCATATGAATGAATCTGCAGATTAAATGTTAGCAAAATCACCTATAGAATAAACCATCCTATGATCATCATCGCTGTTACCACGTTTGTTTTTATTGGCATGGCAACTCATTCTGTTTAATAGTTATTAGGGAAAGTCCTGTGACTCCGACAGCTGCCTCTGGGTTGCTGATTGGATGATATTTGCTCTTTGATAACATTTTTGTGAATGAAAGTGGCTCATAAACGGAGCGGAGCAGGGTATATAGAAATGTGGCAGCGTCAGTTATGCTTATGATCAGGGCTCTCCAGCTTGTATAGATCATCTGTTTATTAGAGACCAGCCCTAACTCAATCACTTCCTTCCACCAGAACCGTAACACATGACAGCAGAGGAAATTACAGTCATTCGTCTCTGTCTACCCACATCATGTCGTCCATCTGTTTCTGGCTTTTAAACCAGGACGCTTGTACTGTCTTTGTCCTTTCTCTCCTCCTCCTCTGCCTCATTTAGCTGTTTACCTGCACCTAGATCAAACCATACATCTTCAGTAAGCTGACAGTCTCAATCAATCACAGTTAAAAGTGTACAGGTTTACATTCACCGCTGATGATCAGCATAGGAGGTGCCAATGTCTTGATAATGTACGTGCGCTGTGTGACAGACAACCTGTCAGGCATAAAGCAGGTCAACTCCGCATCACAACAGGTGTGTTGTGGGATCTGTGACTTGGACTGCAGTTATCAAGGCAGCCGGGGGTGGAGGTTTAATTGCAGCTCTCTCCTCTCCCACAGAATTGCCACTTTCCGTTTGAGTCTCTCATGAATGTGCTGGGGGCAGGTGTCAGTGATGCACTTGAAACATTTGTCATCTTACAGTTTATTCTCATTATTATTCTTTTGCATCTGGACTAAAGAAATGTGCAGTCCCTGTTAGTTGTAGGTTGTAGACAAACATAAACATTCAATATCTCATTCAGAGCCAATCACCAAAAAATGGGATTGTACTTTGGGGCTCTATAATATCAAATTATAAATAACTGATACTCAGACAGTAACAGTTCCAAAGTGCTACTATAGGTCACGAACTCCACAGGGAACCTTTAATGCAAACCTGTTCTGGTTAAACTATTGTATTATTTTAATTTTAACCTTTAAACAAATGTCTTTACTAATTAGCATGTTTTGTTCTCCCTCTGTGAATAAAGAAACTGTACCTGCCTCCTTCTTCTCTCTCTCAATACTTCTTTTCCTAGTTAATCTTTTTCATTGAGCCATGGTGTCAGTTTCATCTGGAACAGTTATTCAACACACACTCTGGTTGATGTTCCGCTCACCCAGATACATTAACCTGCTCGTAACACCTCTAACAAGTAAATTATACACAGTTATTACCAATGAATCATCCATAATAAAAAAACGTGTGGCACACCTTTCTCCAGTCCAGCATGGACAACATTCACCAAATGTTTATATTAATACAATGTTTTTACCATAAATAATCATAAATACAAAACATACAGTATTTTATTTTACAAAATGTTCTTTACCAAATACACTGAGGAAAAAATAATTATTAATAATAATAAAATAAATAATAAATTAATATTTTTTTTAATACAGTATTTTCTACTCTTCCAACCTGATTTTTCACAGCTCACTCAAATCTCTTCTATATATATATATATATATATATAACCTGAGGTTATCCATAAATATTGAAAAATATTAGTTTAAATAATTTGGTCAAAAGAGAATTTCCTGCTTTGTGTTGCCAAAGAGATTTAACCTCTTAGAACTGATCATGAATTAAGCACACTGCAATACTACCAGTACATAAAGCAGATCCTCTAAATCAGTACTGGTGTTCACTGCTCTGCTTTCTCTTGTGTGCCTCAGACGGAGGTCATCAAGGGGCCATGTGGCAGCGTGGGGATGACCTTCAGGCATGTTCCTGCCACTGAGGGCGACGCAGTCCACGTCAGCATCGAAACAGTCACGCCCAACTCCCCCGCAAACTTGGCAGATCTGCAGAAGGGTGATCGCCTCATCGCCATTGGAGGTCTCACATATCACTGCACACATTAATAATCAGTCATAATGTCATAACCATTTTGTTAATATCACAAGCTATTCTTACAAGCACTGAATTTGGTTATTTTTATTCAGTTGTGCCCTACTGACTGAAAACCTGTTTCCTTTTGTTGTTTGTTGACAGGTGTCAAAGTGACATCCTCAGTTCAAGTGCCCAAACTGCTGAAGCAGGCCGGAGACAGGGTGTTGGTGCTGTATGAGAGACCGGTTCGTCACCAGACTTCCTCTTTGGGAACCTTGGGAACTCTTCAGGAAGGGTTTGGGCAGCTTGAGGAAACAGGTTTTATTCCCCAGCCTGGTGGTTATGAGGAGGACCCAGCCCCCATAACCACCCTGTCTGACATGTCCGACAGCAAAGACATGGACTCTGAGTTTGAAGAGTTGATTGTAGACAAACCTGGCCACACTGGTGGCCCTAACAACAGTACCACAAATACCAGTGACACTAAGGAGGAATTCTTGCTCACAGTAAACCAAAGCCCCAAAAGGACTGTGGCCACCTTGGCCTCTAAGCCCCTCGGTACCATATCACCCATTCTCAACCGCAAGTTAAACCTGGTGGGTCTTCAGTCACCACTCAAGCCTCAGCCCAAAGAGTCACCAAAGCCCTCACCACATAAGACCAGTAGTGATCCAGGGGAGGGCCTGCAGCGCCCAACAATTCCTCCCCCACCTCCTCCCTCTCGCCCCCCAGTGCCACCAAGGCCTCAGATAAGGTTGACATCAGCCTCCTCAGAAACCAGTCTTTTAGAAGGTGTTGACTCTGTCACAACTGCTACTGCTGCTGTTGCTCCTGTTGTGACCAACACCACCAGTGCTTCTGAAAAATCTCCAGAAAAAGCTCCTCTCTCTGGAGCCACAGAGGACAAGGCTGGCACTGAGAAGATCTGTGTCAAACAGGCTGAGGCAAAGCAGTCCACCAGACCAGCAGAGTCCAGTGATGAGCTGCCAGTCCCCCCCACTGTGACCAGCAGCAGCAAGGCTGACCAAGCAAAGGACAAAGCTTCAGAAAGCTCATGCAGCACACGGGACAGTCTGGAGGACCACTCCATCTGGGAGTCTCCAGAAACCATGTTTCGTAACCAGACAGCACGCTGGCCCAAAGCCTCTATGGTGTTTGAGGTAGAGAGCAACCACAAGTACCTTAACGTGGCCTTGTGGTGCAAAGATCCCTTTAAGCTGGGTAGTTTGTTGTGCCTGGGTCATGTCAGCCTCCAGCTGGAACACGTAGCCCTGGAGTGTATGGCCACATCTTCAGCAGAGTACCAGAGCACCTTTAGGCTGGGGCCTCCAGAGCCCAGAGCTAACGTCAGCCGCACCGCATTGCGCAGCCTCAGCTCCCACAAGGGCTTCAACGAGAAACTGTGTTACGGAGACATCACTCTGAACTTCTGTTACTTGGCTGAGGGGGACTTTGAGTATCCAGGGGGGCTGGTGGAAAGGGAGCGAGAGGGGAGTCTTCATGACGAGGATCTAAAGGAGAGGGAGCGGGAGCATGTCCCCTCTGCACCACGTGATGACTTGGCCTACAGCACCATGCAGGTGGAGGTTCGTCACAACTTCCAGGACACCCAGTTCCAGAACCCCACCTGGTGTGAGTACTGCAAGAAGAAAGTTTGGACCAAGGCAGCCTCTCAGTGTATGGTCTGCGCCTACGTCTGCCACAAGAAGTGCCAGGACAAGTGCCTCTCTGAAAACCCCTTCTGTGTGGCAGCGACTGAACGTCGTGGAGCTGACCCTGAAGCCAAATCAACCATAAACCGGGCCACCACTGGCCTGACGCGCCACATCATCAACACCAGCTCCCGCCTGCTTAACCTTCGCCAGGTACCCAAGACTCGGCTAGTTGAACAGGTGGCTGATGTGGTTCCTGGAGCGGTGGAGCCCTCACCCAAGCATACACCCAACACTTCTGACAATGAGAGCAGTGACACTGAGACCTACACCAGTGGTGCCAGCCCCTCCAAACAGCCTGCCAGCAGTGGTGGCAGCAGTAAACTCGTACGCAAGGAAGGTGGTTTGGACGACAGTGTGTTCATTGCTGTGAAGGAGATAGGACGCGACCTGTACCGGGGGCTGCCCACAGACGAGCGCTCCCAGAAGCTGGAGCTGATGCTGGATAAGCTGCAGCAGGAAATCGACCAGGAGCTGGAGCACAACAACGCCCTCCTGCTGGAGGAGAGGGAGGCCACAGATGCCCGGCGCAAGGCCCTCATCAGTACTGCCCTGGCCAAGTCTGGGGAGAGACTGCAGGCCCTTACCTTGCTAATGATTCACTACCGGGCGGGCATCGAGGACCTGGAGTCAGTAGAGAGCACCTCTCCTTCAGAGCAGCAAGGCTTTAAAGGAAAAGGAGAGGGTCTGGAGGAGGAGGCCCTGATAGGAACAGAGGTCTATGACAGTGACATCTGCAGCCCTGTGGAGGTGCAGCTGTTGGATGACATTACTGAGGAGCAGATCTGTGTGGAAGCTCTCCACTGAATAAGACTAGAGACAGAAGGAAGAGGATTGTTTGGACTCATGTCTCCCTGCAGAACTGTGTCCTGTTTAGATAATGGTGGGGATGGTGTTAATAGTGGGGAAGTGTGGTTCACTTCATTCTGAGGAGAAAACAAATGTTGGTTAAAGGAATCTTCTCCTGACAGATTCATGGTGAACGTGTCATTGGTGTTTTGATTGCACAGTGTGATGCCGTTTCCATGCTTTTCCATGTGTTTCTGAGTTTTTAAAGGGAAGCTCGACAACTACATTATCACCTGCCCTCAGTAGTGCTGCACGTTTATCCTCTACTTTTGCTTTTCTGTGGCTTCAACACCTCATTGTAAGCATTGGGTTCAGTTCACCGTCCTGTCTGTAACTGCTTCACCATGAGGACTTTGGAAGATGTGCACTTTTCTTTGGTCGACTGAATCATCGAGGACAATGTTGAATATTTGCTTGTTGTGAACACTACAAAGGAAAAGCAGGTTTAGACCTCCAAGGACCTGAAGCAGTCACACATATCTTTTTTTTTTTTACTGTGATATATTTGGATTTCAGAAGTGACTTTCCCTCCTCACTAAGCTCTTTGGGATTTCAGCAGCTGCATAATTATTAGTGGAACCTCGTATATAATTTGCCTCTTTCCTTTGGTCTATTTGTCTGTGTTAGTGAAGCCAAACATCTTTCAGCATTTCTTTTTTTTAAAGATATATATATTTCCATGTTTTGTTTTGTTTTGCCAAGTAATAACGTTCTGTTAAGAACAGCCCTAACTTAACTAACTAACTAACTAAACTAAGGCACATAACTAATCTTGGGTGAAATGTGAGAAAGGCACATAATTGTGTGTGTCTTCATGAGTTGTTTTCATGAATGAATGTATGTTCAGCCCTTTCTGTGTGACTGTATATACAGTATAACAGTTTGGCACCACCCGTCCCCACCCTCCACTTCCTAGCCTGTTACACTGCGACACCGTACATCTCTTCACTCCAGAGAGACTGTGGAGAATAACTGCCTGTGAAGAGAAAGTATCTCACTCTTCTGTCTCAAAGGAAAAATGAATCCTAAAACTGAAGAATAGCTATAATCTGTTTGGTGATGTCCTTCTCTTTCTTTGTTTTCTGTCTATATCCTGATGGTTGTTTTGCCAAGCAGTGAAGCATCACATATTTCTGGCAGAAATATAATTGAGTGTGATTGTGGATATTCAGTGAGGTTGAGTTTGATAGCTCTCTAAAATTATCAGCAGCGGTCAGCAGTTGTTGGTGTCAGTGCATCAGAATTGGGACATTCAAACAGGCGTACAGGCAGAACTCAGTTAGAGGAGATGTACCAGTGCAGGGACAACATCTGATTGAGAGATAGCTGCCAACCAGCCCTGCGTTCAAAAAACGAGAACAATATCCAGGAAGCCTGGCTGGAGTAACAGAATCTTATCAGAAGCTCCGACTGCAAGGTTTTTCCTGACAATTACAAGGTAAACAGTAGAAATATGTTGTTCTCCACCAAGAATGTACACTGTGCCGGCGGCCCGCCCTGCTGGGTCACACTGATATTAAAGGTTGAGCCAGTTTAAATCTTTTTTTGCTAGAGACCATGTGTTGACCCAGCTGGCCCCTGGACCACGTTTTTCGGCTGTGCTGATGTCGGTCTGAGCACAACCTGGCACCTTTATAAACCATCTCTTAGGGCTGTTGAATGGCATTTTCGGAAAAGTAGGATCAAGCCTTGAACATTGGACAGCAGAATCTAGGCCTGTCCAGCACAGGCAGTAAGCACAGGTGCAAAACTTTTTTCTAACCACAAGTATGAGTGCAACACCATCAAGTTCCTGGAGTTCAGCCTGTGAACACATTGGATGACACATCATGAAAACTCCAACCTTTTTAGCACCGATACCTTTTTTTGTTTCCAACTACATTGTCATGGACCAGTATACTCCAACCCCTTCATGACTGAAAGAAAGAATAAGTTTCATTAAGAAATAAACAAATTAACTCCACACTTGAAAAAAGTCCTCTCATTTTCTCTGTGTTTTTGTTTTTTTGCCCATTTGAACATGGTAGTTGCAGCAGTCGTAGGAACAGCACTCACAGATCAAGTGGGTAGGTGGATGATGATGGACTGGATTTGTGTCTGCTGACCTGTTAAGAGCGTGGGATGGAGTGACGAGGAAAGATGCACCAAGTTACCTGAAACACAGCACATAACGGCTTAAAATGTTCTTTAGTCACATTGTTTCCTCACGGCCTGATGGAGGCTGACGGTGGGAACCACCACCTTGAGGGTTTTCTTGAGATAACTTTAGATTTTCTTGGGAAAAGTACAAAGACCAAACAGAGAATTATCTAATGGGATAAGAGCCTTGATCCCTGGTGACCTCGGGGTGGGTGTGGCCAGCTGAAGAGGAGCTCGTCAGTTTGTTTTGTTTGGTTGAACAACAGGACAAAGTCAAAAAAGAAAAGAGTGTGTGTGACAGCTTAAAAAGAAAAGGGCCAAGGACGTATAATACATTACAAACATGACATTCATACGCTGCATAGCAAGAGCATCCACAGTCGGTGTGCTCGTTGTGTGGACGTGAGGATCCACACAAACCCTCGTGGACTTTACGCCACGTGGACCCCTTTGGACATGTGGACGTGGAAGGCATGAATTGGCTTTTATTGGAGGCAAAGGATCATTCCCTGTTCTTTTCAGTGTAATAGATCTGTTAATCATGTAGATATTAGCTTACTGGCTGCTCTTGTCAATCTCTCTCAGTCACTGAATATTCAGATATTTTGTGCAATATTTTTGTAGGAAATGAAACTGATTATCAGCATTGAATCCCGGTGTCTGTGTTTTCTCTTCTTTTTTCTTGAAACTGTGTGTTGTGTGTGACCATCTGTCTCTGACCTGAGGTTCTGGAGACCAGTGACAACCTCAGAGGAGGAGCTCACGCTGTAAACCCTCCTCTGACCTGACAGGCTCTGCTTTCGCTGCTGCTGCTGTTGTTGTTACTATGTGCTCTTCTCAGAACTCATTATCACATGCTTCTGCTGCCCCTCCCCCAGCCCTAACCTTTAAAACTGCACTTGAAATATGACTTACCCACCACAGCTTTCAGCAGGTCAAGGTGGTATTTGTTTCTTTTTCGTGTATGTGAGGGATATAGAACAGTTTTCAAGAAGGCTCATGTGATGAAGCTTTATTGTACATAACCTGAATAAACAAGCTCAAATGAATTCCCATCTCTCTGCTTCGTGGTTTAATCAGCTCACACACAAGAAGTTTAAAGGCACAATATGTGATGCAAATGTAAACAAGAGTCACTTCACCAGCAAACATCAAAATGGACTTGAACCTTCAGTTACATCCACACATATCATTTAACATGAGACTAACAATGGACCAACACTCAGTCTGAGCCAAAGCTTTATTTACAGGAACAAATACAAGCCTATATTTTAAACTGAAGTCAGCTGATGGGTATTTATACTCAAATTCCTCAAGTATGTACAGTATATGATAACACTGAATGTATAGTTATTTCTATGTACACTAAATTAATGCTGTGTCCAAAAACAAAACAAACCAAAACTGAGAACTAATGAGCACTAAAAAACTTCAACCACTAAAGAAGTCTGTGAGATGCAGTTAAAAGCTTCAGAGGACGTGGGAAAGTACAACCTGAGTTCAAGGTTTTTTCTCAATTGTTTCTTTTTTTAGTATCAGCACAGTTCACATTTAATAAAGCTAGCGCAATTTTTCTTAATGTCATAAAAAGATCAAAACCAACAACATGTTACAGAAAACAGTACTGCATGTAGAACGTCACAGGTTTTGTTGGTGGGGGCGTGAGAGTCGATGAAATGTGAGCCAGGAAGGAAGGTCATGTTGTCTTTAAGCACTCCTAATGTGGGCCTTCATATGGCAGCTCCCTGCACCCTTTCTCAAGTCTGCCATGAGAACCAAGCAGCTAGCCTCAACTGTCCATCATTTCTGATTTCCTGATCTGCACGTTCAGACCGAAAGCAGTGAGCGTGAAAGAACTGGCTCTGGATCCCCATCAAAGACGCTGCTGAAGTTTGTGGGTGCTCTGACATAGATGAAGTAGATGAAATAAACAGCTAGCAAGTTTGTTACGACTGCTTTGCATGCTATGGTGCTAGTTAGCATACAAGCCCCTCCTATTTTCGCCAAATATATTGTAGCCTTCACTTCACCAGCTCATCTGAACACCTATAGTGTGAGACATCATTGTCTATGCATTGTTTTTTTTGTTTTTTTTTACTTAAGTCCCAGTAAACAAACAGGGTCACGTCATATAAGCAATCAACCTCTCCTGCTTGGGAACAAAAGTTTACATGGTTGTGTTCTCTAGTGCTCTCTAGAGCAGAGCACTTCAACTTCAGTTGACTGAAGGCAACTTTGACTTCAACTTTTTCTGACGCCTGTACCACCAATGGGCATACTGCTGCTCACTGCTAAAAGGTGCCGACTCACATAGAAAACAAATGACTTCAAGTCACTTCAAAGTTCACTCGCCTCTTTTGGTCTGAACATACAGTAACACTTGCATTCAGTCCAAGTCCATTGATTCCTATTAAGGATGTGAATCTTTAAAGGGCATCCGTACACATCAAGGTCTGTTTCCCGGTGTTTGGGGAAAAGAGACTATGTGAAGTTGAATAAAGGCGATGGTGTCTTCAGAGGTTAGCTGTATGAAGACTGACAAACTGCTTCAGCTGATCTTCACTGTCAGAGAGCAGGTATGAAACAGGTGTGGGGAGCTCACCACACCTCTATAGCCTGCTCCTCATCTCTGCTGCAAGCTAGCAGCTTGAGGCTACATTAGCCACTACTAATATAAAACATCCAACTCTACAACCAAACGCTGGCAGTTGACTTGCATCTTGGGTAATGTAGGTGCAAGGCAACAATATGGGAGCGCAATGCTATACCTGTGGAAGACCTTTAACTACTTTCAGTGGGATTTGTTGACAGTAAGAAATATATAATATAAAAATGATATTACCAGCAACATCCTTTAATGCACAGTTAGAATGAATCTAGAACAAAATGGGGACAGAGATTATCACTAACAATAGCACAATATCCTCCATCCAGAACAATACTGCACTCCCACTACTCCAGCTGTGGAAAATGTCAAAAATTTTCTCTTTACATATTTGAGTACATTACATTGTTTTTCTTCTCAGAGGTGTCCCCTTCCCAAAAAAGCAACATGACATTAAAAATGTGGTTAAGCTTTGTACCAGCGTTGCTGTAAGATCCACTGTTGTCTCGTGGAGAGGGAAAGGAGGGAAGGTACTGTATTGTGTGATCATCCGCAAAGTAATTGAAGCCCAGTGCTGAGATGGACAGGCTGATTACAGTGTGTCTGCTCCCACATTTCCCCATCATGGTAACTCATTCTGCTGTCTCCCACCATCCAGTACACACAATCAATATGAGTACTTCTCCTACCACTCTGGGAAGAATGGAGTCTTCGCTGTTGACATTTCCATGGTACCTATATGTATTTAGAGCAACACCAACAGTGTTTTAATCGCACCAAAAGGTAATGAGCTGAAAATCCATCTGTCTGTATTTTTGTTTCATTTTCATAGTCATTTTTTGGGAAAGAACTCTGTCAGAGCAAACATGCCACATTTAAGAGAAGAAAAAAACAAACAAACAGAAAAACAACCAGCTGATAACAAATGCGATGACATGGGCAAAAATCATCTCTACATATGACTCACAAAAGAGCTTGGTGCTTTTGCTATGATAAACTCAAGGGACATCACAGGGAAAACAGTTCATTAAGCGCTGATCAGAGAGAAACTAGTTGGTTGATTTAATCTACCACATATTTTATAATAATTAAAATATCTATCTATCTATCTATCTATCTATCTATCTATCTATCTATCTATCTATCTATCTATCTATCCATCCATCCATTCATCCATCCATCCATCCATCCATCCATCCATCCATCCATCCATCCATCCGCAGGAGATTAGCTTTGAATGTGCATGTTGCTTTGAAAAGTGTGTGTCCTCATTTCCAAACTAATAATATAATGTAGGTACTGTTTACTCTGGTACAACAGGTTCAGGCTGCTGGGACACCTTGGTACCTGAATAAATAGGGTCTAAATAGTAATTGTAATATAAAAAAAAGAGAGGGAGGGGGAGGAACAGCACAGAGCTGAATCCTGTCATCATGCCTGGGCTGATTTCCTCTCACTGTGGTGACTCACTGCACTCTCATACTTTTATCAGTCTCTCTGAAAAACCAGAAACATGTTCCTGAATATTTTATATTAAGATGTATTACTATCTATAACAGAACCTTTTTATTTTATAAGTTTAACAATGTTAAGTTTCTTGGCAAAAAAAACCTTCAGCTCCCATAAAGTTTTCCTAGTGCAGCAGCGCAGCTAATACATCACTGTAACAAATGATAAATACAATCTCTTCTAATGGTGTTGGGCTGGTGGGAAAACCAGAAACAGAAGCAATTAACGGAGAAATGTTCAGTAAATGAGATTGGATGAATTTTATAAAAATCTACCATCATTATCTTGACATATAGAGTAGAGCACTCGACATAGCACTGAGGAAAGTTAGCTGGTTTTTCCTAAATTCTGGTTTCACTTAAACTGAGTAAAATAACATTAAGTATGTGTGTGGAAACAGTTTTTAGTTGATGTTTGATTTTATCAGCTGTTTTGTTTCACCAGTGTTCAACATTTTTCATCCTCCTGCCATTAGTAGATCCTCACTACCTCCCCCAACGAGCTTCTGTTTCCACCCGTGCCTGTTTGTTTTACTGGGAAGAACTCATTACATTTTGGTGCAAAGGGGTTTAGGTTTTTGTTTTTTCAATCCCTTTCCTTAACATAGTGAGATCAGACAATTTACTACATTTCCAAAAGTTTCTCAGGAGATAATGTTTGAATCTTAATGTGAAAAATCAGGTGCAGATCCAGGTAATAATCTGGATCTCACAGACGTGTCTGGGTGGAGATCTGTGCTCTGAGTATCATTCAAGTTTATATAATACTTTAAAAAAAGATGTTGATTTACATATTGTCTTTTTACATACTTAGTACTACATACTAATTGTCAGTGGTCTTAGTTAGAGATGTCTAATATGACAAACACACACTGTAGAATACAATTTGATTAAATCATTATTGTACACAATGTCTATGAAAAAACTCCTATTACTCCAGTGTGACATTTCAAAAGTACCAACAATTAAATAAATAATTAAAGTAGTGATATTGATGAAGAGGCTGTTCCACTCCACCAAGACACAGTTTTAGTGGAAAAAATAGATACATTTTATGTTTTAATATATTTCCCCCTGCTTTCAGTCTTTATGCTAAGCTAAACTAAAATAAAATACGCTAAGCTAAGCTAAGCAGTTGCTGGCTCCAGCTACATATTTTACCATACAGATAAGAGACTGGTATCAATCTTCTCTTCTCTCTCTTTAATGCATACTGCTGAAACCCAGTGTGAATGGACTGTAAATTTGCAGCATAGACTGTGTACAGGAATACTCCACTACACCACACTTCACATGTGGCAGCAGCAGTAATGATGGCTCGGGGCAGAAACACACAGTAAGTGGCAAGGTCACCAGGGAATGCCGACACCTCCCCCCGTCAGTGGCCGGTGGGTATACCCATCGAGGTGTCAATTAAAATGCTGTTTACAAAGTGTGGCGCATCTGATGAGTGTTGTAAAATAATAACCTGCAGATTCAATTTATCTACACACATATGCTTTGTTACGATGCCACAGTTTTGGCCTGTACACGACCCTCCTGTCTCCCTGTGTCTGCACAATACCAACATGCTGGATCTGGATCACCTTCATAGAAAGTACTGCAACATCATAAATAACACCTGTGCTTTTTTCTGACGTGAAAACATAAAAAAAGGTTAATTGTTAACAGCTATCTATATATGTTTGCATTTTTTGTCAGATAGAGTCTGTAAGTGCTGGGGATGTAGTGGGAGACGTTTCTATGGATGTTCTGATAAACTTCAGCTGCTGCCATCTGTGACTGAGCCAATTTTATAAAAATGTTTAACACTGAATCACACAGGGCATTAAAATACCTGCGGTGACATGATTACAGTGACTGATTAAGGTATGGCCACTGGTTTTAATCCACAGACAACAGTGGTTCTGTCAAAGCGTGGTCGGAACATCATTTAAGACCACATCTGTTTGAAGCAAAATCTGTTGATTATAAGAACAACATTATAATATGAACTTTGGCACAAATTCACTTCATTGACTAACAACAAACCATCCTAACAAAGCTGACTTTAGGGGGATGGAAATCTGGATACACACTGAGACACAGTCTACAGAGAGCTGTGACTTGGACTGCAGTTTAGGAAGTGTTACAGCATATTTTGATATCAAGGCCAAAATACATAAGTAGGAGTGAGAATCCTACAGCAAAGATGGAGTTATTGTGAAAGATTGCACAAAGTCAACATTTAGAAGTAATTTAATAAGAGTCACGTCATACTCACCACTATGTTGCTCTCACTTTGTCTTTGTCAGGAATTGTTTTCATTCACCAATTCATTCTAGTCTTTCCACTTCCTCCACACAGACATTCAGCTGTTGTCAATGAAACTTGACACTTCACATTGTTTGTGTTACAATAAAGTGTATGAAGGGAAAGTGAAAGATCAGCAGGAAGGGCTGAGTCAATCCCCATAGACTCCCATGTTAAAATGTCCAACTTAACAGCAGAAATAAACATGTTTACAGCCTGGTACAAAAACTGTTTTGGTCTCTAGAGCAAATTTTTCTCCTCCATGACAACTGTTTATATAACTCACCTGTTTACATTTTATTAAGGCTCAAAGTTATTAAGAATTGAGGGCGTGGCCTCTTTGACAAGTGGGTGAGCATATGCCTTCCACACTGAAGTCACCTAAGTCTCAGCTCCACACACGCACCTCCTCTTTGACCATTTTTGGATTAGCTGGGAGATTTAGGGGCGGAGCCAGGCACTACCAAGATGGTGACAGTGGGCCAGCTCACTCTGAGCCTCTAAACCACTCTTCAGAAATGTGGGTGTGGGTGATGTCACAGAGGCTACGTCCATCTCTATTTACAGTCTATGGATAAACCTGACAGCAGCAGACTGGTGAGTATGACAGGACTCTGGTGTTGTACTGATGAACTTCCTGCTGTGGATATAGATTTGTGGTGTTGATATAATGAATATGTTGGTGCATTTTGCAGCTTAGAATTATCTCTCTCTCTGAAGTTGCCAAAATGCAAAAAGGAGGGTTCTATTCTATTTAAGAGGAGATCACATATTTATATCTCTATATTCTCTTTTTAGAATATATTTCTCCTCTGTTTTTGATGTCCCAACACAGCTGAGCAAGAACAGCTGGGTTTTGAAGAGGCCTGAGTAAACACATCTGGATCTGTATCAATGACTGGGCCAACACATCTCCATGGATTTTACACAAACAACAGTTTCCTGACAAACCACACAATAACCCAATACACTACCAATGTGCACACCAAACTATTGTTGCTCAGCACCCTCCTACTGTCTACAAAGTGCTTTATGACACGTTTCTCTATTGAATAAGGCTGTTGGCTAAAAAAATATCTCTCACACAATGCGCTTGCCACTACAGATCAAGAACAACTTTGGTTTGCTCCAGTACAACTGCTAAGAAGACACTGAACAGTGAAGACTGAACGCAGAACATTCACATGGAAAAATCTTGGCTGCTGTTGTTTCATTGCTATTTTTTTTCTTCTGTGTTCCCATTTTTTGTACAATAAAATAGATCCTCTGAAGGATTAACCTGCATCGCTGATGTACTGCTAATCATAGTCATCATATTCTGGATCCATGTTTTCACCCTGATAACATGTCCCTTGTGTGGAGTAGGACATCGTCTTCATTGAGCAGTTGGAGTCCATCAAAATGGCCTGAAAAGACAGATGATGGAGAGTGTTGATTCTGCAACAACATGTGTCAAAGTTCATTCAGTAAAACCTAGAACTGCTTCTTTTAATGTCAATTTTTTGGGGTTTTTGTGCTCCATTATCAAGATAATGTTATAATCCTCTTCTGACCAGGTCAAGGATGAGTTCATGTCAAGTTGAAGTAATTTATTAAATGCAGTCATATCGTCCAGCACTTAAAATCAATATTTCACAAGTGACTTGTTAGGTTGTGATTTCACACGTGAATCAAATTTTCACATTTGTTTTCACATGTGAATTACGTAATTCCCATGTGGAGGTTTCCATTCACATGTGATGTTGTGATTTCACATGTGAACCTAAATTTCACGTGTTTTTCCGTTATATACATTCAAATGTGTTAGCAACAACAAGTTTTTAATTTTACATGTGATTATAAACGTTGCGAGTGAAAATGATAGTGACACATGAAGTGAAACATTTCACATGTGAACCTAAGTTTCACATGTGGAAACCACATGTGTATCCCAAAATTCACATAGTTGACGTTTTTAGCTCTATATGTGAATACCAATTTTATATGAGAAAAAAATAATGTCACAAAAGTAGTGAAAAAGCCCATGTTATGTTGTGATTTCATATGTAAATCTAAGTTTAATGTTAAGTATGGGTTTCACATGGGGCTTCACACATTACACCACAAAAATGTCCCAAAACCATGTTTCCCATGTGTTCCACACATTTCACATGTGTTTTTAACATGTTTTCACATGTGCAGAAAACACATGTACATGTGGGATTACATGTTTACACACGTGATTTTGCACATGTGTAATTCATGTGTTTTTTCTGTAAGGGAAAAGAGAGCAGACAACAGTTCATGTGTTAAGTTAAAGAAGCTAAAAGAAAAACTCGGCTCTGTTATTTTGTATTAGATGCAGACAGAGGAACGATTAAGCTTCTCCCTTAGAAGAATGAATCAGTCATTAGCCTGTGTTACGAGACTGTTTAGACAAAATACACATAGAAGCTTTTTTTTGCATTGCCAACAGTATATCATCATCCATGTGACACACAGAGGGAAGCTATTCACTCAGGCTGCGTCCACACTGACATGTTTTCACTTTAAATCAAAACCATCTCTGTCCAGACGAAATAATGTCCATCCAGACTAACACTCATGAAAACACATATCACATGACCATTCACATACACTGAGCATGTGCAAGCCGGTGTTAACAGGAAGCAGATTGTCTTCTCTGCAGTTGGATAGTTGCAGAAAGTACTCAAAACGAGGAACAGCAAAGACAGTTGTTGCATAAAATACTGAATGTAACTGAACAACAGCTGCTAGCAAAAACAACAAGGTCAGTAACCCTTGTAATTCATTATCATGTTGTATTCACCACTGGTAGTCCAGGCTGATGAGAGCCAATCAGGAGAGACTAGGGTGTCTGCTCGTCCACACTACAATACAACCCCAGAGTTTTCAAAATAAGACGGGTCCAGCAGAGTTTCTGAAAGTCTCTGTTTCAGGGGCTAAAGACTCCAGAGTCATGTGGATGTCAGGAGTAGACACAGCAAAAGAGATGAGTTTTAAAACTAAAACATGGCAGTGTGGATGGAGCCTGAAAGTGTGACCAAGACTCACAGAACTTCAGCTCAGTTTTAACCTCAGTGTTCACAGTGAAATGCTGATACTTAGCTTCTATCTCCTCTTGTCAATTGTCTCTTCATATGTGATTGAAGTTAAGAAATAATGACATCATGATTTTCTCATGTTGGTACTTTTTGTGCAGTATGGATGTGGGAGTGTTTACACAGTGTGATGGGAGTATGAAATACTTCTGGTTTTCCAGCACAGTCTCTGTTTAGCTTTTACATGGATGTGGATTTACCCACATCCGCTTATGTCAGAGCAACATCTCTGGGAGATGAACATCATATTATTTGTCTGTGCCTTTCTGCAGGATTTTGTTTGACTGGGTTTAAGTGTGTTTTGAAACTTACAATTTTCTCTTCTTGACCTGGTGGATTCCTGAGAAAGAGGCAAAGTGGAGCAAAGAAAATATCCACTACTCCAATGATGGTCATGAGCCAGGGGAAGCCGATACTCTCAGCTATGGATCCTCCTATAGACGGACCTGCACCATCAGACGATACATCACACACGGGGTTAGTCAGATGAGTTTGTATTGTAGCTTAGTAATAACAAGATGACATGTTGGTAACAACCGAGGTAGTAACATGGTAATATTTTGAAATGTCATTAGATAGTTGTGTTTGGGGTAATATAGAGGTGGGGTAATATTTGGGTATAAGAAGGGTAATAATAAGGTAATTAACAGGAAATCACTGATATCATTCACTGAAAATAAATGTAATTCCATCTCCCTCCCCATTCCACATATTCCAAATCAATTTCTATTTCAAACTGTTATAGCTTACATTGAAACACACTGTGTAATTAACACCAGTCCGTGCTGGAGGATGCAGCACCTGTTTGTAGTTGATGATTCATACACTACTTTAACCTTGACACCAAGCACCAGAGTGTTTAGCTGGAAACATACAGTCATTTCTCCATAGTAACCATCAATCAGCACTGTTAAAAACACTGTACATTATGATAATCTAAATGTCACAGACAAACAAACAACAGCTGGAAACAGATATGATACTTTAGACCATATTTAAAATTATAAGAGCTGAAGCTCTTATATAAAACATAAATATTTTTTTATGTTTTCTCCTGATAATATCTCATTAAATAAAGGGATAATAATCTCATTATCTCGGGATAACAAGCTTCGTTATCCCGAGATAACGGGATAATAACCTTGTTATCTTGGGATAACAAAAAAATCGTTTTCTCTTGATAATATCTTATTATCTCGGGACAACGAGCTTTGTTATCTAGAGATAGCGCGATAAAAAACATTTGTGAGTATGGCCTTTCTCGGCATCTGTAATTATGTCCCCACAATGACAACATGATGAGCCAAAGATTCAGACTCAGATTCACTTCAGAGGCGTCATATCCTGTAGTTTAATAGACTGTAGTTTTGTTAATGCTTGTATGTGTGCTCCTTGCTTACCTAAAGCAAAGCCCATGCAGAAGGCCACATCAGCAATGGCATACACACTTCCATACACAGACACATGCCGCAGGTCCACCAGGTAACCCATTATAGGCATCATGGAGGAGTCCACCATGCCTGCAACACATCACAGACATCACAGGTCTTACACATACAAACACACTGTACTGCAGGTGTTGTGTGTTGAGCTTAGTGTTCAGTGTTGCAGACATACCAATGGCAAAGCCGACACCAAAGTTTGGAAGAATCAGACCATAGATGTCTCCAGCAAATGGAACCTGGAACACACAGGCACATTTCATCTTTGTATGAGGGAGTGTAAACATCAGACACTTAACATGAGCAGAGGAGCCGGCTGCTGTGAGAGTCAGAGTCACTGTAAAGTCAGAATGAGATTTGTTGAGTAATGAACTGACTCCCTGTTCAAGCCCAGAAGGACAATCTGATGATTTACACACTCTGGATTTGTTTTAGCCTAAAATCCAACAACACTAACCCTAACCCTCTCAGAGCACAACCTTTAAAATCCACATTCAGTGGATCTTACTCTTGTAAGTCTTTTACTGACCCATCGATGCTCATCAAATATTCCAGAGGTGATACATGGTGGAGTTGTCTCCCTCATACTTACACATATTACACTGATCCCAACCACCACCATTCCAATCAGAGCACAAAGCCATCTGTAAGAGACAAGATGTGATCAGTGTCATCTCATTATAAATATATTTTACTCCAGTCAGCCACAATAATCTCTGCATAAAGGTGAAGCAGGATGTGAGTTTGTTTAACATGAGTATAAACATGATAGAACAGTATATATAGTAGTTTCAGAAAGTTTTAATTGTAATGGATAAAATTGATATTTTATCCCATCAATCTACATTATATTATCTATAATGAAAATGCGAAAACATGTTTTTTGTCACAAACTGAAATCTGTCATTTACAAAAGTCTTCAGACCGATAATCCAGGACTTTGCACAACTTCAGTCTGCTTGAGTCTTTACAAGCTCTGAACCTGGATCTGCTCAGTTTATCTCAGTCTTCCTTGCAGATGTGTGTGTATGTGTGTGTGTGTGTGTGTGTGTGTGTGTGTGTGTGTGTGTGTGTGTGTGTGTGTGTGTATATATATATATATATGGTGGGAGTCAAGACCATCCACTGGTGGGAGAGGTGCATAGAACAGTACAGAATAATTGATTTCTGGTAAATACCGTATTGTTCACAGTCACTAATAGACTGACAGTGGTCCAGGACTTTTTCCAGATGTTGTAGAGCATGAAAAGATCCAAACTGAACACTGTAAGTAAACTAATTGATTACTGGAAGATAATTATTTAAACAGCATTTGTAAAGGAATGATTCTGCTCGAGCTTTCTGATCCATACAAGAGGTTGATCACTGTAACTGTGATCACTATAAGAAGTTTCCACTATGGTATTCATGTAGCTGTTCACAAAGGGTTTAACCTGTGCCACTGAACAATAACATCATGTCACATCCAAACAGGGTTAGTAGTATACAGCTGATGCAGCTGTTCAAATGTTTTTTGAATGCAGTGCTATCGGATCAGTGCTTGGTATCAGTCGATACACAAGCTCAGGTTCAGGTATCAGAAAAATGACATTGTACATATAGTAGAAGTGAGACTATAACAGTTTGTGATGGTGAAGTTATGAAACTGAAAGTCCTGTTTTAACTTTAAAGAGTTTTATGGTGGTACTAAAACAGATTTGGTTAATGGCAACACTCAATAACAAAAGAACGAAGAAGCCAAATAAGCATTATAAGAGCAGACACATACACAGAGAAATTATAGATGCTCTGTATCATCAAGGTTTCAATAAAGGCAGCCTCACAAACACGGGAAACTCATTTAGAGGAACGGAAACAGATGCTACATCCACAGAGGGAAAGAGAGAGAGAGAAGGTAGATAAGGATAATTTCCCTCCCTACCTCCCCATCTTGTGTGCCAATGTGCCGAAGATGTTGGTTCCAATAAGATAGGAGATGGACGCTGGTAAGAAAGCGACGCCTGGACCGAAGACAGACACACACACACAGAGATGAGAGAATGAAGGTGTGGGCAAGAAAAGCAGATCTCTATCAGAGCCTCATTACTGAGCTGCTGTACATCTCCCATTGTCTGTAATGAAGACTTATGCTTTGCACCTGCCATTATATGACACCCTAATATCCTGTTCCCCCTCATCCTTTTTTATCTGACCAAGACTTCATATACAGCATCCTGGAGGAGCAAACTAATAACAGCAGAGAGCTGAGGAAGCCTCTGTTAGAAAAGACCTGGCAGGACGGAGGAGTGACACTCCTGTACAAAGTCAAGTCAAGTAAGAAATGTATAAGAAACGAAAGGAAATGTGATTAATGATATTATTTTGTGAATGAAATGTTTTTATTTAGTAATAACCAGAGAAGTGTTTTGACAGAGAGGGTTTTCAAATCTGTTCAAGGTGCAAGTGCCTGTCTTTTAAAGGGAAAGGGAGATGACACTGTGACTGGTTTATTAGATGTCACGCCCAAAACACTCCCAGGAATAATTAAGAGATTTAGTAGAACCCTTCTGAACAATGTGCCTGGAGCAGAGACTGTTTTTTTAGTTTGTTAAAATAGTTCCTGAAATAGCACAATTGTTGTGGACACGCCCTACAAACACTCTAGACCATGCGCTTTGGATCGTTAAAATAGAGCCCTTAGTGTTTTCTGTCTGTATTATGAGGTAAGTGTGTGTGCACTTTTATAATGACTACTAAATTCTGAGCATCTTGCCTTCTCAAAAATATCTATGTCTACTGACCTCACTTTTGATGGCCAAGAACAGTTTGAGGACCTGACTGTAAACCCTTTGTGGAGGAGCCTTAATACTCTGCCTTTTAAATGTCATATAACAGCTGAGAACTATGGGCTGTCACATAGGTGGGGGTGGGGGGGCCTCCATTGACCCTCCTATTGGAGGAGTCCTGAGCCCCGGGTTTTTTTTTTTTGAGGATAACTGAGTTGATTTGATTGTCCATGATTTGGATTTTTCACATCTTCTAAAGTGGCTTAAACACAACCTGTTGTCAGGGTAACAAGGATTTATGCAGAGTACATGACATTTAGGAAGGATGGTAGAGATTGCAAGTGTTCACACCACAGGACAGCAATGAGCGGTAGCTATCAATGGCAGGTCCCCACTGGTTTCATACTCTACACATGGCTGGTATGTGACCTCTCCTTTACTACTAAGTGTGTTACCGCCCTGAAGTAACGCATGGAACCGTTGAGGAACACTGAGATGACACCAAATAATTATGCAAAGGTTAATAAAATAACATGACAGCGCACTGACCACGGCAGAGCTTAAATGACTGATGACAAGACATTAGATTTTAATTAGACTTTATACATTTCATCATTTATCTTAGCATTAGAAATGTTAATGGTTATTAATGAGTTTTGTGAGGTGAACTATTTTAATCAATCATCCCATAATCAATAGATGTAACTGTCAGTTGTCCACAGACGTTTTACAATGCATGAAAAGCAGTTCACTAAATCCCTGCAGCACATGAAGGCAGCAGGACTACAGGTGTTTTCAATAACCAATTAGATTACACCACAATCTTAACCAGCCAATCACGTTGTCCCTGTTAAACTTTAAATCTGTTCTCCCCTCTCCTGCTGTCAGCTGTTATTACAGTCCTCCACACCATCCCCCTCCAGTCTTCACATCCAGCACCAGGTCCAGCTCATCAGAGCCCACATCATATCAGCTCCATATCCAGATCTCCAGCATCTCTTTTTGCCACCACCACCAAAGTCTAGACCCTGGGGGGTTTCCTGTACTTTGCACAGCCTCACCCCCTTTTCACATATGATGACATCACTATAGGGTCTAGTCTTTTTTTTTTTTTACACATTTCCTGACTGAACTGTTGATTCGACTGCAGCCTCTGACTGGAGAAGTTACAGGTGAGATGTTGGATCACTGGAGCTCATTGATGCTGTGTCAAAACCCTCCTTCACAAGTTTTTCAGCGGTTCATATTTGACTCTTGATCTTTCCTCACATACAGTAGAATTCAGACTGAACACACACTGGATTGATTCCATTATATCACCGGCTATTTCTATAGTCATGAATAAACTATTAAAAAACAATAACACGTTGTGTGTTCATCCTGGGGAGGCCCACTCTTCATTTGATGAAGTGTTCTTCAACATCAGTGAAGAAGAGACAACCACAAAAACATTCAGAACAACAAACTTAATCAGACCCTTAAACACCATGAACCCTGCTGAACGTGTCCAATTTCAAGAAGCTAACAAAGGCAAAAACTAGAGCCACACCTCTGACCTCACCTGTGCATGATGGCTCCCTGCTGAACTGCTGCTGGGGCTCCACACGTGTCCACACCACAAGAGTTACTGCCTTGGATAATGGTCATCAATTATAATAATCATCCATTGCTGATGAGCGAAAAGTAAAGAGATGTAACCAGAGTGGTTATCTGAGTGACTGTAGCCTTTCTGTCAGCTCCAACCAGTCCTTCCATTCTGCTCTGATCTCTCTCATCAACAAGCTGTTTCGTCCACTGGATGCTTTTTGTCTGACACCAACAATCAGATCACAGTCACTGAGTCACATTTGTCCTCATTCTGATGTTTGATCTGAACATTAACTAAAGCTCCTCACCTGTATCTGCAAGGATCAGGAACACTGCTGCTGGCTGATTGGATAAATGCATGAAAAAGCAGGTATACAGGTGTTCCTAATAAAGTGCTCGGAGAGTGTATATTGGCATATAAAATGAGTGATCATGGAGAACTTAACTGTATATAATGTTTAATATTTACATGACTTGTGCCACAGTGCTCTCTGTCTGCAACCCTCTGTGTAACTTATCCATGATATGAATTACAATGAGAGAATTCATTAGCACTGATGCTGCTTTCGAACTGAGGCTGGAGGTGGAGCTGAAGGGGCTGTATGTTAAGTGTTCTCTGCATGGTTTCTTGCCAGGAGTGGATGGGGATGATGGTGGTGATGATGGTAGTTTGAGTCCTAAAATCTGGAAATTAGTTGCATTTTAGCACCTCCTGTTCCCTGGTCCTGAATTCTCTGATTTGTTGAGTGTTTTTTTGTTAGATTGGACTGAAATAAGGTGTGTGGTTAACACCAGCTCAAGACATTTTCACGTTTTATTCTACAACATAAAATACATCAGTAAATACCCTAGTCCTGATTTCTTCAAGCTTTCACATCTGTTAAAAAAGGTTGGTTGCTAACAAGTGTCTAAATGAGACTGCTGAGGCTGTCAGGGACGTTAAGCACCATCATGTAGAACATAAAAACTGATCTTCAGAGTGGTAGTGACATTGAAGTCATGTGACCATGGTGT